ACCAGCAGTTTTAACACGGTGTCCAAGCACCTGGGAACAGGAGATGAAGGAAACCAGAAAGTACATGCGATTGTTTGAAAAATATAACGTTGTAAACCTATGAGGTTACTCATTAAGCAGTTGCTGTTGTTTCTGTCTGAACTTCTATCCTACCTGAATACAAGCATATTTTTGAAATTCATATTAAATGAGGTTAGGCTTAAATTTTCACAGTAAGTTATCATCCACTGCACCAATCTTTCTCCAAGTTATGAATTGTGTAAAATGTTGTTTACTTAAAGAATCCACTGCTATCTGTCATTCTTCATATGATTCAAACTTTCCCCCTAGAAGGAAATTGTTTCCCCACGTTAGACTTTATGCACATTTGCCAACTGCAGCACAAGTACCACTTGGTGTTATGGTTCCCTTACTCTCTTCTTTATGAAAAACAACTGTATGAGAAAAAACAAAGGCATGAAATAAATTTATTTTTTAGATCTTATTGGAAAATATTACCCTTTTAACAGAAGTCCGAGGGCTGCTTCTGATGGAAGAAGCCTAGAAGTTAGCCTAAACATTTACCTAAAATCTGTTGCTTCCTAGCTTCCATTCCTAGGTAGGTTACAATACTTTTCATGGGTGCCTAAACACAGAAACTTTTTAAATCTTGTAAGGAAAGATGTGGAAGGAGTAGAACAATTCTATTTTATTTATGAGGTTAGTGTAAGTCACATTTTCTGCTTCTAGTAAAATGCTATATCTACTTAAAACAAGCACAAATTACTACTCTTGTAAACACAGAGGAGATGAAAACATCAGCCATCTCATAACCTTCAACCGTTCCATCAGCATCCTTTAAGAGCCCAATCTCCATTTTAACATTTTTCTTAACTTTACTATACTTATAAAAAAATGTTATATTTAACATTACCAGACAGCTGTTGTTTAACATTACCAGACAGCTGTTGTCCTTTTTTTCATTTCCTAATTTTTTAAACCAAATCCATATCTTTCATATAGTTCTGTAAATCTTCTGTCATATCTGTCAGCCAATTGGATTTGATCTTTATTTTCCAGGGTTGGCGAGTTGGTCGATTTACTAATCAACTGGCCACTTACTTTATGACAGGTCATATAATCTAAAAACATGCAATAAAAACTACAAACAGTAACATATTATCTAATGTTAATGTTATCCAATGTTTTTTGATAAATATTTAGGCCCCATATTACATCTCTGCTTATACTGCTACTAACAGACTTCAAAATGACTGAGTGTTCAATTCAAACAATAAAAAACTATTTTCAAATAAATACTATTACCAGTTATTAAACCAAATCATACCAGCTGTTGGCTGCATAGAACACGAGGATATTATAATACATGATACTGTGGTATAATATTCTCGTGTATGGTTTCAACAGATGAAGAGCAGGGACCCATAAAACTCGTACATTATATTAAGATATACAATAAGACACACAATGTCAAAATGACAATGCCATATGCAGCACTGGACTTATTGTTGTCAGGAGGCTGAAGAAAAAACATTAACTGTTTTTTCCTTTGTTGAGCTTCATGTAATTTATACTAAATTAAGTAAAATCCAATATATACAGTTAAAATAAGAAAAAGAAATAAAATACTTAACCATTATTTGACTGATCAATTTATCAATTTCTGTCCTTCTCTTTTTTAAAGAATATCCCTATCCTGAATTAAAGCAACAGATTCCTAAAATTTTTCCAACAGTTGTTCCATACCATCTATAAATTCATTCTCCCAATCTATCAATGATAAATCTTGTATCATCACTTAATGAAAATCAATAATTAAAATTTTACATATTTTTATCTCAACACATAGCAAAACATTAAAACTAACTATGCAATGGTCACTCTTAACCAAATGTCCCCTCACATGAACTATCACCACCATATCCTAATTAATGGTTAACAGTGATCCACTCAGGATAACTGATCACTTGGTACAGAAAACCATCTTAAATCACTACAACTTAGTGCAAGAAATTTCTGGACTGCTACCAATGCAAAATAATCATTTTAATATATATATATATATATATATATATATATATACAGTATTTAAAAATAATATCATAAGTATATATATTATATATATTTATTGAATGTTTTAATCAGTACTGTTGATGAAGCTAATGACAGAATA